ATTAGACATGGTGGCGGCGGCGGAGGCGGGGAGCGGCTCTGAGGATGGCAGGTCCAGCGAGGAGGAGGAGGACGGGGCCCTGCAGAGCCTGGGTAACGCGCCGGACAGCAGCGTCCTGGGCAGCGCCGATGAGAGTGAGGCCTACGAGGACTGTGAGGAGGAGGCGTGGCAGACCTGTTCTGAAGATGGCAGTGAAGAAGGAGGAAATCCCACTGACCCAGGCTGCAGGGAAAGCAGGACGGCCGGGGCTTTAGCGCAGTGCCCTGCGCCCTTGCAGAGCAGGCCCGTCCGTAACTTCAGCCACCTGGTTCAGAGACACGAGCTGCTGCAGCTCTTCAGGACGATGCACGCTGGGAAGAAGGAGAAGGAGGGAGAGGTCACGGTAGGGCTGGTAAGTCAGTGCTTGTACTTACAACAAACTGGCACGGTCCGAGCGCCTTGCAGCATGAAACATGCTTGTCCAGATGCCCTAGGGGCACGCGCCGGGCAGGTGAAGTCAGCGAGAGCTGGGGGGTGGCTTCGCTTGACGCGCTCTCTGCGGTACAACCCTCAGATGGTGCTTGGCTGGCTAGCCAGCCCCAGGGCCAGACCCCTACAAGTAGCTCAGTGCTGACCTGGGATGATCATGTTGTCGTTCCGCTTCCTTCCTTCCAGGTGGGCTACCCCAACGTCGGCAAGAGTTCCACGATCAACACAATCCTTGGGAACAAGAAAGTGTCGGTCTCTGCCACCCCGGGGCACACAAAACACTTCCAGGTATCTCGGGGCGCTGGCTGAATGGCCACGTGGCAGACGCCAGGGGCTCGGATCTCTGACGGGAAAGCCCGTGTTGTTTGGCCTGTGCCGTGGCTTAGGAGGGGCTGAGCTTGCTGGCTGGCAGGGCTCTCCGAGTGTTGTGGTGCCGCTGCTTTCCATGTTCCCTGGTAATGTGGGGCTTGGCCGTCCCCTGCCCACCAGTGCCTGGCAAGGAGGGGCCCTCAGTCACAGTTGGGTTTGCTGGGTTCCTGAAGGCCAGGAAGCCCCGTGCACAGCATCGAGAGCCGGAAGAGAGTCTGTCGCTTTGCCCCCTGCTTTGGGAAAGCCTCTCCGAGTGTTGTGGTGCCGCTGCTTTCCATGTTCCCTGGTAATGTGGGGCTTGGCCGTCCCCTGCCCACCAGTGCCTGGCAAGGAGGGGCCCTCAGTCACAGTTGGGTTTGCTGGGTTCCTGAAGGCCAGGAAGCCCCGTGCACAGCATCGAGAGCCGGAAGAGAGTCTGTCGCTTTGCCCCCTGCTTTGGGAAAGC